CTGCCGTCACTCTCTGGTGCTCAGGCTTTCTGAATGGACTAGGGAGAGGATGATTTGGCAAATCCTTTTCTGAGGTTGGGCTCCCAAGCAAGCAGGGAGTAGGTATTACTATTAAGAAAATTTGGTGGGCAAGATGTTTTTTTACCTTTGTGTGCAAATCTGACCTCTGTGGAAAGAGATGATTTCTATTTTCTCTACAGCTCTAGAAAATTTAGCGCTACCACTACCTCAGTAGAGTCTAAGCTGCAGAGCCACATCTCTTCACTCAGCCCAGGCTTTCCCCTGCCTGCCTCCTTGCAAGAGGTCACCACTATCAGAAACAAAGGATATTAGTTCCATGAAGGCAGTGATGGTGGCTATCCCTTACTAATCCCTTACTACCCCTCCTTGTAGGTACCAAGGCATAATGTTTCTGGTCACACTCATCCCCATGGAGCTAAAGAAACAACCCCTGTAATTACAGTTGTGCTGCACAGTAACCTGTGGATGACAGACTTCACGTTCTCTTGCTGAAGTTACAGCATGGTAAGGCAAGGACAAAATACTTACAGGGCCTTAAAGAGAGCAAGCAACTGAAAACCTAAGACTCTGACCTTGCTGTTATAACATGAGGCCACACAAGTGCGCTTTGGGTTTCAGTGCTAGGACTATTTCTAGAATCAATCTATGAGCTTTGTAAAGATAGCATTGGAAGCAGAGAGCAGCACATAATCTTATTCTCTACATTAACCACAAGTAACATCTGTCTGGAGGGAGCAAGAATGTATGTGTCAAGACCTCCCCCTGGGCTAGCGCTCTTGCGTTCTTGTAAAAAGGGCAGTTGTTTTTTGCCAGCAGGGAGAAGGAAACCTACCTCTAATAAATCGTTCAGTGTAAACACAAGCAAATTCATTATTCATAGTTGTTTAATGAAAGTTTTATGTTAACAACTCTTGGTTCAGTGAATGGCTCATGAACTATTTGCTGCCTTTTCCTGTCTTTTCATTTCTTTAACTCACTACGTAACATCCACTGCAGGTGAAGCTTTCAGAAAAAGAAAAAAATCCAGATCTGAAGTGAGTCAGTGTTCATTCATTACAAGATGCCTTTTGCTCCGTTTCAATGCCATTATTCATTGCTTCAATTTTTTAAGGAAACACATGTTCAAAATGTCACTTATAATATGAAAATTTGTTTTAATACAATTAGGTCTGAACATTTATGGTACTCCCAGTGTTCCCATCTGCTTATGAACCTCCTCTTTCTATAAATAGGCAAAGGAAACTGCATTTTGTTCAGCTCCTGCCTTCAGTCAGAGCCTCGCGACTTGCTCTCATTAAGTTCGTGTTTGCAGAGGTCATTATGAATAACATCTCGCTGAAGCTGCAGTCAGAGATAAGAGGTTTATATGTGGGATTTCTAAGTAAGGTATGGCTTTGGCGATTTTCACTAGTTTCAATATTTTCAGTATTTCCATACTTTCATGGGCCAGCTCTTTGTCAGAACTACTTCTCTGGGTTGACACATCCTATGTTTGGCCTTCCTCTGAGAGAAGAGCATGCACATCAACTACTTTCAACCAAGTGTACTTCAGTCAATTTGATCTGTGTCTGTCCTCACAGCATTATGAACAGCCACTAGATTCTGAAGTTTTTCTCCTTTCTAACTGCAAGGGTTCAGGAGAATTGGCTGAATTAAAATTGAGGAAGGGGCAGCAAGGTGGCAAAATGACAAAGGGGCACTGCTCTCTGGTGAAGCCCCCCTCCTCTGTTCAGTGCAGGACTAATCAGGTGTGGGCTGCTGTCCCTTTCCTGTATGTGCAACTATCTCTCTTTCTTCTTATCGAAACCAAAGTCTCCATCCACAGTGACCTGAAAGGAGATTATAGTGAGGTGGGGGTTGGCCTTTCTCCCAGGTAACAGTGATAGAATTAGAGGCAATGGCCTCAAGTTGTACCAAGGGAGGTTCAGATTGGTTATTAGGAAAGATTCTTCCCAGAAAGAGTGGTGAGGCAGTGGTACAGGCTGCCCAGGGAGGTGGTAGAGTCATCATCCCTGGAGATGTTCAAGATTATTGGAGATATGGCACTGAGAGACGTGGTTAGTGGGCATGGTGGGGGTGGTTGGACTAGACTGTCTCAGTGGTCTTTTCCATCCTTAATGATTTTATGATTCTATCTCTTGTTTCACTTCAGGATTCTGGGATAGGAGCCTTTAAGACAGCCCATCTGCAACTTAGGTCTGATCTACTGATCTTGCATACTATCAACCACTATTGCAACAAACAAGGCACTCATCACAGTCCAGAAAAACCTCACTTATGGCCAAGAAACGTGATGCTTATGGCCAAGCCCTTTGCATCCCTACCCTGCAGGCTGTTGTTTCAGGGAACCTACTTCTCTGCAGCATTTTCAAGCACCATTAGCTTTCCCAGATGATCTGAGTTATTCTAACTATTGTGATAGCTTTCACTCACGAAGTTGCCAATTTTTTATCGGTCCTCCTGCAGAACATCTGTGACACGAAGTGAGCCTGTCTAGGCCCACTCGCTGATGCCCTCACTCCCCTCCTTCCAGGAACACGGTCCCTAGAATTTGCAACATCCAACCCCGGTACTCCCAGCATGTTTGACTGTAATACTACAGAGACAAGAAGTTTGATGGATGCAGTCCTCTCCTCAAAGTTTAATCCAAATGAACACCATTATGGTTGTTATCCAATCTGAAAACTGCTTTAAAAGAGAAGAGAGAACTTTCCTGAATTAGAATTCCTGACATAGTTGTTTGCTGTTTTTGTTTTTTTTTTTTTTTTAAGAAAACAAGCTAATGAGAAATAGAAGGACCCATCACAGACAGGCAGTAGGGCTACAATTAATTCCTTCCTAATTGAAATACATTTTGGGGTACTGAAGAAGAGATCATTCCCTTGAAATCACTTGTTTCACTGAGTGATGACTTCAACATGGATGCTGTGCCTTGGCCTCTGCAATTGTGCAAATGCTTGAAAAGGTCTCTGAGGTGCCTGTGTAAATTAGTTTTTCAGCATCTGCATGCATATATTTTTCTCACTCAGCTGATGAAAACTGCAATGCAACAGACACTGAAGCTGGGTGTTTAAGTTCAGTGAGTGAAGTAAAATGTTGATGTTATTCAGGAACTGATTGGTGTCTGCCAATATCTACCACCACTGGCTGAGGTTTGATGGAAGAGCCGAGAAAACATGTTGAAAATGTGACAGCTAGTGAAAGCGTTCTGCTTGATTGCTCCAAATTGGATAGTGTTTGCACAGATGGGGCACCTACCCTGACTGGCAGGAGTAGTGGTTGTATAGCTTTGCTAGAAAGGTTTTTGTATCAACAGTTATCTCAAATATCATTTTATTGTCATCAGGAGGCTCTTCGTGCTAAAGACTGGGATTTCTGAATAGTTCTAAACCCTATCATCTGTTTCATCAACATGGTACTCATGCATGCCCTAAATCAATGTTTTTTACAGATGTAAACAGGGCGGAATTAATGCTCCTCTACAGCATTAGTTAGCTGGCACAGGGAAAGGCCTTTCAGAATTTTTGTAAAGAAAAGAAACAAGTGACTTCTGGAAGGAAAGTGTGAATTTATGAGTGATTGTGAACTGCTTAAAGACCAGGATGGGATAACGAGCTGTTCACCTTCACAGGCTTTATATTTTGCATTAGTATGTTCTACAGGGGAAAGAATACCTTTGTGTTATGATATTTAACCATCTTTTTCATTATAAAACCAATCAAAACTCTTGTCCCATAATAATTTGGACCACTTTCTTTTAGATCAGTTAAGAGTTGATAACAAGACTATAAATGTGGAGAGCTATGCTGCGATGTCATCAATTCTGGGCTAATGCAAGTGAAGTTTCGGTAGAAGGCAGAAAAGATAGAAGAAGGTATCAAGGTAGAAAAGTCCACTGTAGCCCTTTGATAATCTTCTTGCTCAATTTAAAATGGAAAATGTTGAAATTCAATACTATGTCTGGGCTCAATAAGAAATGGTAATTTATCTCCACTGCACCCATACATATCCCCAATCTGGAAAGAAGTCTCTAAAGTTATTTCCCCCTAGTAGTTGTAACTTTGTTCTTTCTTATGGATAGAACTTTTTATCAGTTCCCACCCATGAGCAGTCATTTCTGGATAACAAATCTCTGCTTAGAATATTAGTTTCTGACATTCTAGATTTTCACATCAACTTAATTCTCTTGGTCCCCCAGAGCTGAATGTGTACACTGAAGATGTTATAGGCCAAATATCTGTTCAGAAATCCACAGAGCCGCCACAGCAACTCATTCATGAAGGCCAGTGATGATTTGAGCAGAGGGAACTCTTGGGTAGACAAAGCCCTGATGTGATCAGAGAAGCAATACAGCTGTCTTCCCAGAGTCATGCAGTGCATCATAGGAGAAAGATCCCTGCCCTGACCTGGAATAAAAAAAGGAATATTTACCCTCCATCCCAATGAAGTCTCTGCTGATGAACGTACATAATTACCACTGTATTTTTTAACAGCTGTAACACATAATATTAATGCCCAAAGAGAATATCAGAATGACATTTCCAAGGAAACGAACCACTGCATTTCCTTGTTTACTGCCACAATGGCCTGAAATAAAGCTAAACTTGTCTGAGAGCTAACAGGGTTTAGAAACCAGTCAAAACTGAGAAATACAACATTTGCAAAAGGAAAGGATCGTATGATGGAGTAAACATGTAGGTGGGAGCAAGAAGCTTCAGCCTCTGTTTCCCTTCTTATATTCCCAGCACAAATTGATCACTTCATCACTCTAAATCTGGCATGTAGGAGGAAAAAAAACAGAGACGAAAGAGGAAGATGTGCCAGAGGTAGGGTCAAAAAGGATGGGTGGCAGAAATGGTTCTGTAAGCAGTTTTGCATGCACACAACTGAGATGTTCAGGTTTAAAACCCTACCTATGTTGTGAGGTACTTCAGTGATGGTACCTCTACTTAAAGAAGTGAGTAGGAAGAACAGGGGAACAGGAAGCAAGGGTAGGGCCATCCCTGCCTCAGAGCTTTATTTATGAACTTTAAGTTCCCATGCTGGACAGGTTCTTTCTTGATTTCTGTGGAGCAGGACAGGGTGTACTCCCTTGCAGATTGAGAGGAGGGAGAGCCTGCTGTGCTACACTTCTCTGCAGATCCCAGCGTGGTCAGGCAGTCTCCAGGTTGAACTTTCTACTAGAAAATGGCAGTTTTAAATCAGTCCATTGTGCTGAAAGAGAAACCAGAAAATCATTCTTTCCTTAGCTCAGTTCTGGCTCAGGATCAATAAAGATATCAACCCCTCAATCCCTCCCTCCCCACCAAAAAACAAAACAAAACAAAACAAAAACAACCCACAGTCAAACAGTTCAAGCGTAGTTCCACTTCAGTGTGGAGAGAGGGTCAGAGAGGAGGCATTTCATGCTGATTTTTGGTTCTAGGAAACTCTTTGAGCATTTTTCTTTGAAATTCATGTTATAATACCTCTGGTGAAAGGAAAAAAAAACTACAACCTGGAACCTGTATACTGCAACATGGCACACACACTGCAGCTAGATAGATCCTGATCCAGGTCTGTCTGATTATAACTGCAGTGGAGAACTCTGGCCACTGTAGCTTGATAAAACACACAATAGGACAGTGGCAAGTAGATGGAGCTGTTAGCAGTGAGAGATGATAAATCTTTTTCTGAAATGGGAACTGAGTGACAACTATCTCTATCTCCAGTGTATTATAGCTTATTTCATCTCTTTCTCCCTACAGACATGACTGCACAAAGGTCGAGTCAAATAAATGATTAAAAGTGAGATGCCACAAAGTGTAGATTTTCACTGCCTGAAACCTGAGGTTGAATCCAGGGCCATGGTACGTGTGCTCCCTGCAGCATGTTGAAAGGGTCACACAGGAACATCACTGCCTGGCATTGCAAAGGTTTCTGTAGCTCATCATTCCGTTTCCAGCTGCAGCTGCAAGGGGAAGGTGAAGGAAAAATACGCAATCAGGCCAGGCACACAGATAAAATTTCTCTAGCAGTCTTCCAGACTGTAAACAGCAATGTTCATTTTTCTGGGACTTGAAAACCACAGCCTTAGCATTGCTGGCTCTATGTTCTAGCCACCTGAGGCAGGGGCCTCAGGACTTGCAAATCAGTCCCTTGAAGGAAGGACACAATGCCTCAGGCTCATCTGCACATTAGTGTATTAGAACAGCATCACCCAGCAGTCAGTTGTATCAGCAGAGACATGTCCCTACATCTAAAATCACCATAGAATCACAGAATGGTTTGGGTTGGAAGGGAGCTCAAAGCCCACCCACCCCAACCCCTGCCATGGGCAGGGCTGCCCCCCACCAGCACAGGCTGCCCAGGGCCCCATCCAACCTGGCCTTGAGCACCTCCAGGGATGGGGCATCACAGCTTCTCTGGGCAGCTGTGCCAGCGCCTCACCGCTCTCTGGGGAAAGGACTTCTGCCCAACATCCAACATAAGTCCACCCTCTTTTAATGCCACCCCCCTTGACCTATCCCTATCAGACCATGTAAAAAGTCCATCTCCCTCCTATTTATAGCCCTTTCCAATCGCCAGAAGGCCACAATGAGCTCTCCCTGGAACCTTCTCTTCTCCAGGCTGAACAAGCCTAGTCCCTCAATCTTTCTTCATAGGAAAGGTGCTCTACCCTCCAGTCCTACATTTGGACTAAGGGTGTTTGCCTTTCAGTTCTAGCAGCTGTCTCATCTAGGACTTGTTCCAGGTGCCCTTTTGTTTTAAGAAAACTGCCCTGTACTTGAGATGGTGGTTTTATGAATCACGGCTCATGTATTAATGCCGTGTCCAGTCCACTCTTAAGAGTGAAAGCTTAAAGATGCAGGGAACCTGTATGTCTTTGTTAGCTCATGAGTTAGAGCCAGGAAGATTTATAAATGTCTTGGCCTATGATCTGAAGCTGCTTAAGCAGAAATTGCCTTTACAGACAGAGAAGAGGAGCCCTAGCTTTCTCAGGGAGGTGACACACTCTACAGACAGAGCTTTAATAAGGATTGAGTGAAAGAGGAGGAATTAATTTAGTTCACGTGGAACTCAAGTTATGCTGATGTCCAGACAGATTGTTTATGAAAGGGTTTCCTGGGATTTCCATGTAATTCAGATCACTCTAGGCTTAAGCTTCTTTAGGAACATTTAAAATCTTGGATTTTCAAGAAGCTGGAAAAGGGAGGTTTGCTTAAGTGGCATACAGAAGCTCTGAGGTTAACAATGGTGGCCTTCTGGGGAGGATGACATTTTAGAAAATGCTAAGAGTGACAGCCCTTTTTTGCCCTGCTATGCAAGAGCAGCCTGACACTGTTCTAAAGATCTGTGATAGCAAACTCCACGTTCCCTATAGACAGATTTACATATTACCGAAGAAGAAAAATTGCAGGCTTATTGTTACGGTTCAGAGGAGGAGGAAACACATGGAAAATTGTTCCTATACATTTGCAGTGCTGGAGACATTAGCAACTGAAACCTGGGAGATAAATGTGAGTAAAACTTAGCAAGTGGCATGTGGCGTAGAAAGCATTTACTATTATATTTAAGTGCTCGCAGAATGTCTCTTTGTTGTTATATTTACACAGAGCACTTTGCGTACAAAACATCGATCTCTTATAGAGCCAACACATTACTCGGTTAGAAATCATAAATTAGGAACAATATAGTTCAGGTAGGGGGGCCCTCAGAAAAGGGAATTTACCTTCCTCAGATAAAAGAAAGAGAAAAATCTACTTTACACCTTTATGTCCTTGTCAGCCTACACGACAAGGAGGCAGTTACCCCTGCTGCTAGATGCATTTGACAACATTATAAGAAAGCATGCATTACGGAACTATCTACCACAGGAATTAAATATTCAGAAGGCTTTATATGCAATGTTAGTCACATTCAGCTCCCTTTCCTGGCCTTTCTGCCCCCAAAACCTGAGCAAGTGAAAGGGCTGAGAAGGTCAAAATATTAATAATATTTTGGACTGAGGCAACAGCATCCCTTTAAAGACTTTTATGCAAAAGTAGACCACTGGGCTTCCTTTACCTTGCATGCTTCTGCAGCTGATGTAACAGTAGCAGGTCAGAAATGAAGAGGGGGCATAGACAGACAAGTATGAAATCTTTTTGCATTTCAAGGAACAAAAATTACACCCTCTGGCTTCCACAAGAGAAGCATGAGAGGTGAGAATAACCCAGCTGAAGCTCAGGCTAGCAAAGATAGGGCACATCTACACTTGCCAGACAGTTCCTTCAGGACATACCCATGTCTGCACTTCCATGGAAGCTTGCCTCATATCCAGGCGGCACATGAATATTTAAGCTCCAGCTTTTTTTGAGCTCATAGGCTTCCAAACCTGACAGTGTTGTCTCAAGTGGGCTTAGGTGACATGAAACTTGCAGTGGTACCAGACGGGTGCTCAGTGCTCACTTTCAGCTGCACCATTGCCTACGAATGGCTAGTACCAATGGCTGACATGAACTCCACAAGTCTGCCAGTGTTCTTTCTTTGTAGAGCCAAAAACAATGCATAACACTGATTTGTTCAGTTTGTGACAGTAGATATCAATGGAGAAGCTGAAGACGACCCTGAAGAGAGAACCACTGCAGATAGCTACCACTACCTTTCTCTTACAGATCTTCCAGTGCTCTATCTGCAGCAGTTAAAGACCGTGGAGCTGAAACTCAATCTATGTGCCAAAATAGCTTGATTGAAGATCCGAACCTGCAACTGCTTCCTTGGGTAGGATCTAGAAAGAAGCATCTGTTTTTTCTGTGATCTACCTCTATCCATTTTTTATGGGCTGAGTTCATTCCTCGTTCTTTCTAGTAAAAGCAGGAGTTTTACCATAAATGTTTTATTGAATATCTTGCTCTTATCTAGTCATTCTGAGAGAACAATAGAGGAAATACGAGTATGTCAGTTTTGTTTTATTTTGATATCACTTATGTTACATATTGCAGACTAAGACAAGAAGAACAAATTATGAGATCTAAATTAATCTAATATTTTGTATTTCTGAAATTGTCTCAGTGAGAAAATCTAGGCCCTTCCTGAAGTTTTCTTGTCTTTCTGATGCAACTTGCTTATTTCACACAGCACAGGGTTTTGTTGCTTAATTATGGCTCAGTGTATTTAACTGCTAGGTAAGATATGGGAGATCTACAGTTTCAATAAACTTCTGCAGGGAAGATACTGTTACATAATCCATTAAGCATTGTGGATTACTACAGTTAATAGAAGATTGCAGACACAACACTGTATTTGTTATCCAGATATTACTAAATTATCCATTTCCAAAGAGTTTCATGACTCCAGTTTTTACCATGGGCTTTACTGTTAAAATCTCATATATAGGACTTGAAATCTTGTAGCAATACAAGAAAAGAGCTAAATTTCTATTATTGTACCAAGATTGCAGTGCATGGGTCATAGAGGGTTGCTAAGGAAGCAGAGTTTGAGCTTTGTAAGACAAGAAGAGAATTTTCAGCTTTCATTCTTCTGTTTTCTTTCTTGTCTGAGAAGAATTTGAATTGCTATCGCTATTGTTATGAGCCTTAAAAAATAATTAACTGTGTTCTTTCTCAATTACTTGAATACAGAGGGAAAAAAAAGAAAAGTAAAAAAAGAGAAAGATGTGCCAATCTGGTCTCTGTGCTTAAGAAACAGGACTGCCATATATTTCATATATGGCCACAGCCAACTCTATTAAGGCTATACCTGTAGTACATTTTCATAGCTACGTAGCTGAGCAAAATAGCATCTAACCCCAAGGCAGACGGCCTGTCATCTGTCAGATGTTTTTCCCCTACCCTGGTTGGCTTTATGCTGCTAAAGCTCCATATGGAGCACCTGAGGATTGTGAAGTGTTTCAATAAGCAATTTCGGAACTTTGTTAGCTGAGAATGTAAGAATATAAGTGGTTGGTCTCGAGAAAATTGCTGGCAGATGACAGGTAAAAGCATGCTGCTTTGAGTTCCCAAACCAGTTCATCTAAGGAGAGTGTCAACACTGCAGTAACCTAAAGCTGGACTAAAATAATCAGGTATAAGAAGTTTCATGGCATCACAGAATCACAAAATTGTTGGGATTGGAAGGACCTCTGAAGATTATTGAGATCAATCCCACACTAAAGCAGGTTATCTACAGTAGGTTACACAGGAAAATGTCCAGGAAGGATTTGAATATGTCCAGAGAAGGAGAATTCACCACCCCTCTGGGCAGCCTGTTCCAGTGCTTTGTAACCCTCAAAGTAAAGAAGTTTTTCCTCATATTTGTATATACAATTCAGGCTCTTCCTAATGCAGAGACACTACTTGGCCCACCAGTGGAAATAATCTCTGTGTCCTCATTCTGCTCACTTGGCTTTCATTTCTTGAGGATCTCACAGTTGTCCTGAGCAGGCACTGTTCTCCATCCCTCAGAATCTCTGTCTCACTAAGGAGTCTGATGGGTACGCAGTGGTACTTCACAGGACTCATCCATAAGGATGAGCTCAACTGGTTGTTTTGGTTTAAGCCGGTGGGTGGCTCAGTATCACAGAATTATTTGTTCACTCTCCCCTTCCCAGTGAGATTGGGCAGAGAACTGGGGG